CTTTCTTTCTTTCTTTCTTTCTTTCTTTCTTTCTTTCTTTCTTTCTTCTTCCTTCCTTCCTTCTTTCCTTCCTTCCTTCTTTCCTGCCTCCCTGCCTTCTTTCTTTCTTTCCTTCTTCCTTCCTCCAGTTTCTTTCCTTCTTTTTTACTTCTTTCCTCCCTCCCCTCCCTCCCCCCTCCCCCTCCCTTCCTTCCTCCATTCTCTATTTCTTTCTTTCCTTCCTTCCTTCCCTCCCTCCCTCCTTCCTCCCTCCCTCCCTCCCTCCCTTCCTTCTTTTCGAGCGTCCACTTCTTCCTTCCCTCGCAGATTCTTCTCCCTGGCTTAAGTCTCCAAAGAGCCTTTCCACCGGTGTGGGGTGTGTGTGTCTGCCTCACTCTTTGCGGGACAGAAAGGAAGCAAAGGGGGGGAGCGTGGGGGGGGCGGGCAGGGACCAATGAAACTCCTAGGAGAGATCGGAGGGGGGGTGGGGGGGACGACGTCTCTGCCAGGAACCATTTCCTCGCAGGCGATCCCTCGGTGAGGGAAGGAGAGCAAAGCGGCTGCCAAGCGGCTGCCTGGACGGCGCGGTCCGGCCAGCTCAAGGCGAGGGCGAAGATGGTTCCCCAGGCGGCGGGGGAGCCTTCGCCCTTCCCGGGCAGAGTCGGCGACCGGCGAGCACATGGTGGACGGAGCCGGGCGGGCGGGGAGCAGCCAATGGGCGCCGTGCCCGACGTGATGTCAGAGCGGCGCTAGAAAAGGCGCGGAGCCTTGCGTGGGCTGGGACTGCGGCGGCTTCTGCCCGGAACGCGGCTCCTCCTCCCGGTCCTCCCCTCCTCCAGCCTCGCGTTCCCGCCCCCCCCTGTCTCGGTCCCCGAAGCGGCAGCCGGGCTCAGCCGCCGCCGCCACCGCCACAGCCTCGCCTGCCGGAGGAGGAGGAGGCGGAGGAGGAGGCGCAGAGGCCGGCCCTGCTCCCGGTTGCCTCCCTCGTCGCGCGGATCCGGCCCTCTCGGCACCTAGGCCTCTTCCACCACCGGTGCCGTCCCGAGAAGCGGAGCCGGCCGCCCCTAGCTCGTCCGTGCGCCCGGTCCGGCGAGCGGATCTGGAACCCGCGATGCTTTAAAGGCCGTCCGTCCCACCCTTCGTTTCTCCCCCACCCGGTCTGGCGGGGCGGCCTCCCCCGCCGGGAAGACAAGAAACCAGCCGGGGAGGAAGAGGAGGCGAGACGGGGCGTCCGGCCGAGCCGGGGAATGGCGACGCCTCGCCGCGGGTAACCGGAGAGCTAAGAAGCGCGGCGGTCGCGGGGAGAGGCGGAGAGGCGCGGGGCCTCCGGCGCGGCCATGCTCTTCCACAGCCTAGCCGGCTCCGAGATGCAGGGCGTCATCGACGAGATGGACCGGCGGAGCAAGGGAGACACGCCGGCCATCACTTCGGCCATCGACCGTGGCGAGACCGAAACGGTAGGGCCCGCGGCGGCGGAGGCGGCGGCGGCGGCAGGCCCGGAGCCCCACTTTTCAACCAGGGAAGGATTCGGGGCGAGGCCGGGCTAGGGGGCTCGGCTTCTTGGCACCAGTAGCCGTCCCAAAAGCTGCTGAAAAGCCCCCCCCCCAACGAAATAACGGACCGTTGCGTGGGTAGTGGGAGAGGGTCGCGGAGCCGCGGAAATGGGAGTAGTTGAATCCTCCGAAAAGGATCCGTAAATTTGCCAGCCGAAGCGAAGCCGTTACTCCGCGCCGACTTTAAGCCGAGGAAGCTGGGTTTTAAGAACCCAAATTTCCCCGCCCCTCAAAAAAAAAGGTCACATTTTGAGTATATTTTTCTGCTCCTCTCGAATTATTCCCCACCCCCCCACACCAAAAAGAAATAAAACCAACCCAATTCAGGTTTTTAACTCTCCGTAGGGGAGGCAAAGTTAGCCCACCTTCTTAAACCGAGCCAGAAAAGTGACTTGGAAAAAAGAGGCTCCGTTTTAATGGAGATGCTTTAAACATTTCATTTACCCCCCTCCCCAAATCTCTTGACTATCTATGGGCTTTGCCCCCCCCTTTTGCTTTGAATGTGTTTGCTTGACCAAGTGGCCTCGGTAGGTAACATTTTAATAGGGGGATTAGCATTTATAGTTTTTGCGCTGGTTTCGTTTCCCGGGTTTTAACTAGAAAAATGAACATTGCCTGGAAGCGCTTTCCAGCCTTAGATAATAGTTTAACAAACGGCAAAAATAACAATAGCATCGTGAACAATAATCTGTGCATAAATGCTTGGTGCCAAATGCTATTTATTGGGGAACATTATTTTAAAGTTGATAAAAAGGGCCCTTTCAAATTATTTTTCATCTGCGTTGTTCCTGTTTTTCGGCGAGATTTCTTCGCACTCGGGGAGTTGGGAAAGAGAAGAGAAATGGCAATAATTTTCCTCCCGTTTTTTCTTTTTTTTAAAAAAAATAATTATTGTTGTTGCTATCATATTTTTTTTTCCTCCGATGAGCCTGCTATTTTTGCCCTTTAGAATTATTTTCTGCAGAGATGCTCGCTTTAAAAAGAGAATCACTTAATTTTCAGAGTTTTAAGCTTGGGCTTCTAACCATTCTGGCAGAAATTAAATAATAGGAACCAATTACTTCTCTGCTTCCACATAATAAATAGATTTTCAAAATATTCCAGCAATTTTTCCACTTTCTCATTTCAAATTAGAGGAACAGATTATTATTATTATTATTATTATTATTATTATTATTATTATTATTATTATTATTATTGCAGGATAAATAAAATTAATCTAATTTCAGCATACTTAGGGATCTCTATTTTAAAAAATGTCCGTCTCCTCCATTTCTAATTAAAATAATTATTTGTCTTATTTAAAAAGAAAGATGAGAGAAGAAGGGAATTTTCCTCCCCCCAATACCAGCCGAAATGGGGTTGGATAAATTAAAATTAAAAATGTTTAAACATTTTTATAAGAAACAGGTTATTTAGGCAGAAGGGGGAAAAAAACCGAGGTCCGATAAATTGAAACTTAGACTCCGAGGAGGCGCCCCATCTGGCAGGACTTCCAGCCAGCTCGCCCGGGGCAAATTTCCGCTGAAGTCCGTTAGAATCTCCGGCAGGGCTGATGGCAGCCAGACGTTTTGCGCTTCCTCCGCAGTCACTGCCCTGGCTGGTCGTGGAAACGCACAAAAACACGGGCTTGGCCCTCTACGAAACGCCCTTCCCTTCTCCTTCTCCTCCTCCTCCTCCCCGCTTAAATTTCCTTCATTTTTTTCCCCTTAAAAACAAAAGCAAAAACTGGAAAATCTCGGAGGAGTAACGTGAGCGGCCGTTTATTTTGTTAGCAGAATAGTAGTATTATACTCGTGCATTTAAAAAAAAAAAAAAGCTAATTTTTGCTTTCTGCAAAGAGTTGGAAAAGGAGCTGAGCTTTCGTTCCTGGCGGCGGGAATTAATTCGTGACTTATTTACACCCATATTTATTTTACTGGGTTTATCCCACCTTCGTACCCCCCTCCCCCGCAGGCCTCCGTTTTGCTTTTTCCGTCGTCCCCCCCATCCCATTTTTCCGTGGCACAATCTATACTGCGAGACACACAGGGAGAACAGGAGGGTCGGGTGGGTTCACACGACACGGCTAACTCGAAACAAAACAAAAACCCAGTTTCGGCTTCGCAGACTCGCAAGAAGGGCTGGATTCTTCTAAACTGGAGCGGGGATTATACAGGCTACCCGTGTCTGACCGGGGTAAAACGCGGCCTGTTATGCCCCAGCTCTGACCTGACCTGGCTCTGTGGGTTGTGAGAAGGCAGCCAGAGAGAGATGGAGAAAGGATTTAGGCGCTCGCTGGCCGAACCTCTCTCCGGGTTGAGCCCCTGGGGAGGGGAGAAGCGCTCGGATTCGCCACCGGTTCGGCCGGGAGGGGAGGGCGATATGGCCTCCTAACTTTACCCATCGCCCACCTTGCCGTATTTAGGTATTTCCCGGCAAGGCTTCCCAAGCCGGACAGGTGGGCGAACCCCTGGTATAAGCGCCGCTTTTTCACCCCCCTTCCGCAGCACGCCATGCCGTCGGTCAGCAGCGAGCGAGCCGCCCTGTGCGCCGGCTGCGGGGGGAAGATCTCGGACCGCTACTACCTCCTGGCGGTGGACAAGCAGTGGCACATGCGTTGTCTGAAGTGTTGCGAGTGTAAACTCAACCTGGAATCCGAGCTCACCTGTTTCAGCAAAGACGGCAGCATCTACTGCAAGGAAGACTACTACAGGTAAGGGGTTTGGGAAGGAGGGAAAGGGGACGGGGCAGGGCTGGCCTGCGGCGGCGGGGGAGGGCTGGAAGCTCCCCGGCTCGTTCTTCTTTAGGACATACCTGCCTGGCTCACCTGGCCCGGCAGCCGGCTTTATCCGGGGCGCCCCTCCGCTTCCCGGTGGGACGGGAGAGAGCGTAGGGCAGGGTGCTTTCCCGCCTGGTGGAGGCGCTTCCCTTTCTTACCGCCCCCCCCCCAGGCCCCCCCCCCGAAGAAAGGGCGGTGCCCCTGTTCAGGTGAAGATCTCAAAGAGTTCCCCTTCCCCCCCCCCCTCCTTTCTCTCTCTGGCTGGCAGGAGGTTCTCGGTCCAGCGCTGCGCCCGCTGCCACCTGGGCATCTCCGCCTCGGAGATGGTGATGCGCGCCCGAGACTCGGTTTACCACCTGAACTGCTTCACCTGCTCCACCTGCGCCAAGATGCTGACCACGGGCGACCACTTCGGCATGAAGGACGGGCTGGTTTACTGCCGCCTGCACTTCGAGGCGCTGCTGCGGGACGAGTACCAGCTCCACTTCAACCACGGCGAAGGGGTAGGCGGCAAGGGCCCCGCGCTGGGGGCCGCCGCCCCGCTGGGCCTGCCCTACTACAACGGCGTGGGCACCGTGCAGAAGGGGCGGCCCAGGAAACGGAAGAGCCCGGGTCCCGGCGCTGAGCTGGCCGCCTACAACGCAGGTAAAAGGCCCGAGCGAGGCGGCGGGAGAAAAAGGCCAAAAAAAAAAACCGGACGCTGCGCCCTCCCGGTTTTGCAAAGTTTTGCGCCGCGCTTGGTTCGGCTGCCGCGCGTTTGGGACAGCCCGGTTTGTCGGGAGAGCGGGCCAATTGGAGGGTTTTTTTTTGAGAGGGGGGAGAGCGGAGGCTCGCATCTCCTCCTCCCCCAGCGCCTCGGCCTTGAACTCGCCCTGAAATTGCGGGCTTGGGACGTTCCCACGTTAGGAATAGCGGCTCTCCGCTTGCAGACAAAGGGAGCTTTGGCGAGGGGCAGGACCGTCTTAAGAGCATTATTGGGCCCCGGGCAAAGCAGTGTCCTGGGTCCCCTACGCCAACCACTCACAGGAATAAAAATATAAATGGCCGATAAAATGAAACGTGTATTTTTCACGTTAGTCTTCGTTAAAAATGCAGTCCAATGTAATAAATACGTCGCTGTATTTATATGATACGAGGTGCACCGAAGGGTTCACGGATTAGCATGGGGCCCCTATGCCTCGTAGGGCCCGCGGGGTGCGGTTGGGGGCTTCTTTTAGCCTCCGTGTTGGAGCTGCGGGGTCTTAGCTTCCTAAGAGACGAGTGGTGGGGGGGGAAGTCCCGGGTTTTAGGAACGTGAGGAACGTTTCGCGTTTCCTGCGGGATGGGATCGGGTTGAATTTTGGCCGCCGTCTTGCGGGGCCGAGGAGAGCTTTCCCGGAGGGTGGCTCGCCTGAACAGGGATTGGGGGCCAATGGCGTGTGTGTGTGTGTGTGTGTGTGTGTGTGTGTGTGTGTGTGCGTGCGTAGGGTGGGAGAATAGTTCTGGGAGGCAGGGGCGTTAATCCCGGGTTGCTGCCGGCGAGCTAAGAAAGAAAACGCCGTCTTTTTTTCCGTTTGCGGATCGGTCTCGGCGTCCTGACTCGTGGCGAGAACTCGTGTCTTCAGGCAGAGAGAACGTGCGGACGGAATCCGGGGCGGAATAGCAATTTGGGGTGGGGGGGTGGGGGGCGTGGATAGTAAAGAAGCACTTTTTTTAAATTTCGTTCCCTCGAAACCCCCCCCTTTTACAAGCACCTTCTCCCCCGCCCCGCTCCTGGAAAGGTTATTCCTCCCCAACCCGGCCCCCGCCCGCCCCCCCCCCCCCCCCCCCCCCCCCAAAAAAAACCCCCGCTGTAGTAAAGTTGGGCGGGGTGAGAGAGCAGGGTGAGCTGCGTGCTGGGTTTGCAGACAGGACCCCCACCCCAATTGCAAACCCGGGAAAGAATGAAACCCCCTTTCCTTGGCGGCGGCGGCCGGATCCGAACGCCAGCCGCGTCTTGGTTTACATTTCCCCGTGAAGGTTGGGCGGTGGAGGAGGAGGGGGGGGGGCGGAGAGGAGGAAGAGGAGGAGAAGTTTGATTGAAGGCGCCGACGAAGAAGAACGGGAGGTGAACTCGCGGGGCCGTTGGGTTGGCGAGTGGAAACGCGCGCGGGAGCCGTTTTCCTGGACGCGAATCGAGTCTGACAAGCGGAAAACGGCTTCGGAGGGGGCCGGGATTTCAAAGAGAATTGCCCCCACCTCCCTTGCCCCAAACGATTTGCGCGGGTCCTCTCTCTCTCTCTCTCTCTCTCTCTCTCTCTCTCTCTCTCTCTCGCCACTTTTAATTCTTTCTTTCTTTCGTTCTTTCGTTCGTTCTTTCCTTCCTTTCTTTCGTTCTTTCCTTCCTTTCATTCTCTCTCTCTCTTCCTCTCTCTTTCTTTTTCTTTCTTTTTTCCTTTCTTCCTCTCTCTCTCTATTTTTTTCCTTTTTTCCTCTCTCTCTTTCTCTTTCTTTCTTTCTTTCCTTCCTTCCTTCCTTTCCTTCCTTTCTTCCTCTCTCTCTCTTTCTCTCTTTCTCTTTCTTTCTTCCTTTCCTTCCTTT